ATATATCCATCTATCTATCTATCTATCTATCTTTTCATCATCTATGAATCAATCTACATCTCTTTCTATATCCTCTCTTTTCACACCTCCCTCGCCCTCTCTCAATCTTCCCCTCTCTCCCTCTCCCACTTTGTCTGTTTGGCAAAGTGAGCATTATGTCAATGTATTCCCTGAGTGTTCACTCTATGGTAGGTCGGCAAGTATGCTTCTGCGTCCTTATCTCTTCCTCCATAATGCATTTTTCGAGTGTGTTGGGGGGGGGGGAGGATAGATAAGGTCCAAGAGTACGGTGTATAAGCCTCATGAAGCCAATTGCACCCTTCCTAAAAAATTAATATGTCGTGTTTCCATTTGTTAACTGCCTGGATGCCTTCTGATTATTTTTCTCTTCTGTTTTATTACTCTTTATGGTTTTATTGTTGTTGCTGTTATTGTGTGATCTCTTATTTTATTTGTCATTGTTTTTGTAATTTGTTTCGTTTATTTTTTCTAAAGCTGTATACTTTTTTTCATTGATTGTATTTTTAAAAGGGATGTTTTAGAACTGTTTTTCTTCCCCATCAGGTTGCCATGGTTACAACAAGACGACGCTTGCGTCAACAGAATCAGAGAGTCGTCTGCTGCGGAACCTCCTGTCAGACTACGACAAGCGAATCCGACCAGTGGTCAATCCTTCGGACACTGTCCACGCATCTCTGGGCTTCAGCCTCAAAGCTCTGCTCTTCCTGGTGAGTTTCTTGATTGTAACTTTACTCTTGCAATAAAAACGTCAATAGTGGTTATTGTCCTTTAGTATGATGGTGTGTGTTTCAGAAGTTTTTAGGTTCTAACAGGAAAATGTGGGTGGTCCGCGGGTGTCTAATGTGGTTTACTGCTTCTTTCCTTTAAAATATAATATTCTCATTTTCTTTCTCTTCTTTCTTTTTAGTGTATATTACTCGTAAGTAACGTCTCTAATCTTTAGTACACACATGATGCAATTTTATTGCAAGCACTGTAAAAACCAAAGTAAACTAAACTAAAACTGATTATAACTTTACTCGCTACTTGATATACTATTTGAAAATCATCTCATTATAATTAAAGATGACTAGATTCTTACAATTACTATTTAATTGTTATTTTTCCTACTAGATCTAGATATTAATTTTTATAAAATCTTAGTGCTTCTGCCTTTATAAGTATGAGACAATTAGTTGCCTCTTAGAACGTAGTGTAATTTCCCTTCAGATAACCATAAGGTGTATTCAAATTCTAAAATTTGTTAAATATTTACCTGGAACTCCGTTTCTATTTTTTTTTTACCGACTGAAGTTTTTTTTTTGGGGGGGAGTCTTTTATGGGACCTATTTGTTCCTGCCCCTACTTTCCAAACGCTCAGCCTGCCATCAGTATAAACAAACATACTCCAAGCATTAACTGGCATCTACTGGGTTTTTCATCCTCACTTTTCCCTTTCCTCTTTCTACCGTATCATCAAAACAAAAAAAAACAAAATCACCAACAAGCCAGATCTGCAACAGACACTGGACAATATGTTTTACCATTCTTTTCTTTGCTCAGATGCTTTCCTGTCACCTTTCTTTTCAGGCTTTCTGAATAAGTAGCTTTAAGTCTGCCTTTGCCTGATCGTTTGCCACCAATTTTACCAGTCAAAGAAAGACGCTTAATGACTTTATTTGGGCCAAAGTATCAAGAAAGGGCGTGTGTCTCTTCCTAATTGTGTGTGTATGTGTGTGTGTG